ATTGAAACTGAAGTTCCTCTGTCCGATCAACGCACACGGGATAGTGGATGTGCGCTGCTGATGATTCTCATACTAGTATGAAACAGTGCTTCTAGTTTTCCAACGGTAATCTTACAATGATCAGTTCATGATTTCAGCACTAAGGCTAAAAGTTAAGTAATCAAAACAATCAAACATAAAGGCAACATAGCCTATGAAGACAATTACCTACAAACAAGGACATCAGGCGGACTTGAATAACCTTGAAAATAACCGAACTGTTCACTTCTAGATGAAGTAGACGCTGATAAATCGTCCAGAATGATAATCAAACCTCTATAATTGAACTAACCAGCGCAGAGTACACAAATCCGAAGCTTTATGATTTAGCATCAAATAACAGACAAACATTTAATAATCTGCTAGCATGTATTCAGCAAACGACTACTCTAAGAAAATATTTCTTTAGGCTTTTAAGAAAATACTCTTTGTTCATTGAATAACTGTCATAGTTATTGTATACAATTTTTCTTATTTTTAATAAATGGCTAAGATTACCGACATAAATTACAAAAACTAAATAAATTTTAGTTGTGGAAGAATAATAATGTATAACAGAACAAAATTTATTGATTATTATTATTATTATTATTAATATGTTTGTTCATTTGAAGTTGTTTCAATTTTTTTTGAAATTTTATCTACTTAATAATTATTTAAGTTTCCTATGTTCTTTTTTCTTAAATTATTATTATTGTTACATTGTTTTTGATGAAATATTCTGTTAGAGCTTTGGAGATTTGTGTGTTTACACATTTGAAATCATCAATCAATCATTGTTAGTAGACCACCATTAGAAAACTGGAAGCACTGAAAGACGGCCGTTTTTATCCTGGTATGGGACTGACTCATCAGCACTGCGCATCCACGACTCCTGCACCTCGCAGGATTGTGCTCGAACGCCTAACCATCGGACCACGGGGTCTGCATCAAACGGTGTTAATATGTCTAACTCTGATTGATCTACGGATTTCGCGCTCACTGCTGATGAGTCTCATATCAGGACGAAACCGGGTGTCTTTTAGTGCTTCCAGGTTTCTAATGGTAATCTCACAATGATTGATTGATGATTTCATGTGCGAAATATCCTATCTTAAATATTTATTTAGTTGAGAGAAAGATTACTTAAAGCTAAGTAGAAAGAAACTGATTTTTTTATTGATTGATTTAATGAAAAACAGGACAAATTATTTTTATGCGATAATTATCATGAATGTACTTTTTAAAGATGTTGATTTTTATCTGTACTATTTCTAACATGTTTTAAATTATAATTATAAGTTAATATAAATAGCTTTTGATTAATGTATTTAACATTTCAATAACTTTCTATTCATATAAAGAATATGATAGATAGTTATTGAAATGTTAAATACATTAATCAAAAGCTATTTATATTAACTTATAATTATAATTTAAAACATGTTAGAAATAGTACAGATAAAAATCAACATCTTTAAAAAGTACATTCATGATAATTATCGCATAAAAATAATTTGTCTGTTTTTCATTAAATCAATCAATAAAAAAAATCAGTTTCTTTCTACTTAGCTTTAAGTAATCTTTCTCTCAACTAAATAAAATATTTAAGATAGGATATTTCGCACATGAAATCATCAATCAATCATTGTGAGATTACCATTAGAAACCTGGAAGCACTAAAAGACACCCGTTTCGTCCTGATATGAGACTCATCAGCAGTGAGCGCGAAATCCGTAGATCAATCAGAGTTAGACATATTAACACCGTTTGATGCAGACCCCGTGGTCCGATGGTTAGGCGTTCGAGCACAATCCTGCGAGGTGCAGGAGTCGTGGATGCGCAGTGCTGATGAGTCAGTCCCATACCAGGATAAAACGGCCGTCTTTCAGTGCTTCCAGTTTTCTAATGGTGGTCTACTAACAATGATTGATTGATGATTTCAAATGTGTAAACACACAAATCTCCAAAGCTCTAACAGAATATTTCATCAAAAACAAATGTAACAATAATAATAATTTAAGAAAAAAGAACATAGGAAACTTAAATAATTATTAAGTAGATAAAATTTCAAAAAAAAATTGAAACAACTTCAAATGAACAAACATATTAATAATAATAATAATAATAATCAATAAATTTTGTTCTGTATACATTATTATTCTTCCACAACTAAAATTTATTTAGTTTTTGTAATTTATGTCGGTAATCTTAGCCATTTATTAAAAATAAGAAAAATTGTATACAATAACTATGACAGTTATTCAATGAACAAAGAGTATTTTCTTAAAAGCCTAAAGAAATATTTTCTTAGAGTAGTCGTTTGCTGAATACATATGCTAGCAGATTATTAAATGTTTGTCTGTTAGTTGATATTAAATCATAAAGCTGCGGATTTGTGTACTCTGCGCTGGTTAGTTCAATTATAGAGGTTTGATTATCATTCTGGACGATTTATCAGCGTCTACTTCATCTAGAAGTGAACAGTTCGGTTATTTTCAAGGTTATTCAAGTCCTCCTGATATTCTTGTTTGTAGGTAATTGTCTTCATAGGCTATGTTGCCTTTATGTTTGATTGTTTTGATTACTTAACTTTTAGCCTTAGTGCTGAAATCATGAACTGATCATTGTAAGATTACCGTTGGAAAACTAGAAGCACTCTTTCATACTAGTATGAGACTCGTCAGCAGCGCACGTCTACTACTTCGTGTGCGTGGATCGGATAGAGGAACTTCAGTTTCACTAGTGATCTCTTAGGCTATTTAGTACTGTGGCATCATCTGACAGCCACCTAATATTTCCAAAATTTTAACAGTTTTCCATCTTAGATAGCTTCGTGATTTCAATATTAGATTTAAATATTGACTTATACTTTAAATGCATATGAGTTAATACTTTTATTCAGTTTTTGTTGGAGACGTGAGAAACCCAGAGCTCATTTGATAAAGGTCCTAATCTTGAATTTTATGTTTTCATGCATGGGCTGATCAGTGGACCTTGAAATTACATTTCCCACCAGGAAAATCTTTGGCTGTTATTGGTTGATGTATTATTTTAGTACGCTATTTTTGTGACTCTCTCAAGGACGTTTCTATCATGTATAAATAAACTCGATTTGTGTGCTTGTCAGATTAATATTAAATTGCTTATGAACATTATTTCATAGCTTAAGAAACAAAAACATGACTTTAAAAGTGCTGAATCGTAACTCCTAGTCGATGAGATAGGTGAAAAAATATTATGTGAAATTAGTTGTTATATTTCATTGAGGCCTTAACACTAATGTTTTTATAGTATGATTTAGCATATATATATATATATATATATATATATATATATATATATATAAATATATATATATATATATATATATATATATTAGTCCAAAATAAATTAATTTTATAACTTTAGAGAAGTTGTAAAATGTACAAATTACTAATAGACGACATTTCTGTTATGATTACTTTTTCATTCACTGATAACATAATCATGATATATATTTTTCCGAATTAATAGAGTTTAGTCAGTTAATCAGCTGCAACGTAGGACTTTGTAGGTAGGTACATCAGTTCAAGTTGTCATGCCACATTGGCACTAAGATGCTATTGTCAATTCAAACCCCTAATGATAAGGGTTGTAGAGACTGTACAGATACTACCGAAGATGTGACCAGTGGAGTTCCACCCTGCTGGTTGTAGGCAGTAATTACAATGGATGAGGTTGCACGAAATCCTTAGATTGGTCAGAGCTAGACATTAACACCGTTGGATGCCGGCTCAGTGGTTCAGAGGTTAGGCGTTCGCGCGTGAGGCTGAAGGTCTTCGGCTTGGCTCCTGCGAGAAGCAGGAGTCGTGATGCTCACTGCTGATGAGTCCCAAATCAGTACGAAACGCATATCCAGTGCTTCCAGGTTTCTATCAATGATTCATTCATTATTTCAAACTAAAACACTAGTTAATCATTTAGTATTGAGCTATGTTAAACAACCATTCGAAATAGTGAAAACCTATTTCATCTGTGTTTGGGACTTTTCAGCAGAGTACATCCACAATCCGACTGGGAATCAAACGCAGGATGTTTACATTTCAAGCTGAGCGTTTAACTTCTATACTATAGAGTTTAGACCCAATAGTCTACGTTTATTTTACTGATAATTATAAGTTTACTAGAATATTTCAACTTTTCAATACATTTAATTTTGATAATGATAGACGTCCTACATCATTGTCATATTATAGTTTGATAATTCAGTGAAATCTATTGAAAATCATTTTCTTCATAGTACAACAATGTTTATATTCATTTTAAATGATCATAAAATATATTGAAGTCTGTAAATGAATTGTGCAAAATTGTATATCAGTAAAATTAGTCATTGTATATTTTCGACAATCATGTCTATAGTTAAGTTGTTTGTAAGCATTCGTAATACTTAACGGTTAGTTTATTTAAATAATGTGGATTACTCATCACTTGTGATTAAGTAATTTTAGACCCTAACTGAAATATTGAATTCACTCAGACTGATAAATGTCATTCATTTTATTTAAACACACTTTAAATTTTGAATTAAAGTATCGATGTTAGCATTGAATTAAACAATATCGTTTGTAATCACTGAACTGCACTCGTCACAACTGATTTTTCAATGAAAGTGATTATTCTTTAACACTTTTTTTCGGTTTTTGTTATTGTCTCATGTTCTGTCGCATGTGTACAACATGAAACAACAGTAGTTCATTTTAAAAAATCTCTACACTGATTGGTGGTAATTGACTATTGAATTCTTATTATCAATCATTTAAACTTAAAAGAACGCGTTACTTTTCGATAAGACATTGAACATACACATTTTTATTGAAAGCGAAAGTTTAAACTGACAAAATCATTGATTTCATATTTAATTTGGATTTGCATAGCAAACAAAAAAGGTAATATAGATGAAAATGTACATTTTACGAAGAAAAATAGTCATATTTTACCTGTTCCGTTTTATTCGGTTCATATGGTAGAAGTGTAGATACAAGGAATACAATATTTGTACCGCGAAATTCAGTGACATATGTCTCCAATCCAGTAGAGTCATCTAAATGAAGAGAGATAGAATTACATTCTGACAAACTAATATACTTAAATACATATTAAAACTATATATATATATATATATATATATATATATATATATATATATATATACGTATTAAGCCCAGGACTGAGTAGGTTGGAGAATTTCGGTCGGCAGCCTACGCTCCATTGGGGGTAACAAGAGTAAGTAGGTAAATAATTAAGTAAGTTAGTAAGTAAGCAAGTAAGTAATTGCATAAGTAGGTAAGTAAGTAAGTAAGCAATTAAGTAAGTAAGTAAGTAAGTAAGTAATTAAGTAAGTAAGTAAGTAAGTAAGTAAGTAAGTAAGTAAGTAAGTAAGTAAGTAAGTAATATACGTATTACGTAGAGAATCATGGTTTGTATATATACATATAAGCTGAAATACAATTGTGCAGAAATGTTGGATTATTGATTGGTTTTTTTTTATTCATAATAATTGTAATTTTCTTTGAGTTATGCTATAAGTCATTTGGTTCATTTTCAGTCAATCAGTCAATTTTTTCATCTTTTAGGTATGATTTAAAAGTAGCTTTTAATAATTATAGTGACAAATGAATGCCAACTTTTTAAAATGAAGCAAAAAGTAGACAATATTATGAAATTTTATTATCTTATAAAAAAAATGTATGACATTGTATTCTGTGAATGTTTTTTTTTTTAATGATGACTATTAAAATGAATCAGTAAAGTTAATCTCATAGTTGTTAATATTTGAATACATTGTACCAAATAGTACGTTGTACGTTGACCTACAAAGTTGAATAATACACACACAGAGATTTTAAAAAAAAATTGAAAGTTATTGAATTTCTGCCTACATTTTGATGATAAACGTTCATCGCTAGTGGTCTTGGTGGAATGCTGTTGAGTCGATTGTTTCTTTCTTAATTAAGCCTATTACCCCCGAAGTGGAGCATAGACCACTGATCAGCATTTTCCAGTCATAGGCCTTCTTTTCCAGTTTTATCCAATTACTGTTCATCCTTTTCATGTCTGTCTTCAATTCTCGACGTGATTTGTTCTTTGATCTTCCTGTCTTACTTTGACAATGGGGATTTCAAGTGAGGGCTTGTCTTGTGAAGCATTTTTCTTAAGACGACAAGGTTGTCAAAACAATTCAAGTTATTTGAAATAATTGGTGCCTTTTTAGCAAAATTTCGATAGAATACTGATAAGATCAACTGAGTCTTTTCATTATTATAGTTCTATTTAACTGATAAACTCAAGAGGAAATACCATTTTATTGTGAGTATGACACAGACTTTACCAGCTACTAACATGAAAGGCATTTATTTGAATTAAATGTACTGTGAATAATACGGCACCCCTATTGAACTGGAGTTTGATAGATAACAGTATTTGAGAAGAAAATTTGTAATATTTTCAGAAATTCTTTTACACAGACCTTCAAAATGGAAAAAAAGAAACTTAACCACTACTGAAGAAAAAAAATGTTCCGCTAAACTTTCATTGTCTATTTACACGTGAGAAAATTCAGTGTTTAGTTAAAAATAAGATGTTTAACATTTTCAAGCATTTTTCAGACTACTGGATCTGTAAATAAGAACGTTATTTTCATTGTCATCTATGAATTATCTACTTATGTTTTTTTTGTGAACACGCCATTGTCGGAAAACTAAACATGCCATTTGTGAGAAGATTGAAGAAATAAAAGTTGGAGCTTGGTATAACATTCTTAAAGAACCGGATATTCATTGAAATCTAAACGATAAATTTTTCACAGAATTAAAATTTTTACTTTTATTGTCGTCATAGAGTAATTGAGATTGTTGAGTTTCGTTGAATTATGAAGTGATCATTGTTTGACCAGCATTAGAAATCTGGAAGCGCTCGACGACCATTCTGTCCTAGTACTAAACTCATCAGCAGTGAGCATCCACGAACCCCTTTCACGTGAATCAAACGCAGAAACGTCGGTTCCGCGCGCGGGCACTTAAACTCTAGACCACTAAGCCGGCATCCAACGGTGTTAATGTCTACCTTCAATTAATCTACGGTCTTGCGCAACCTCGTCCATTGTCTTCGGGTGGCACTGCTTCACACATGACACGGCTCAACTTAACAGGTCATTACTTTGATTAGAACTCAGACAATCAACTCACTAAGCTAACCACTTGTGAGCATATTTTACGATTTCTCATCATAGGGTTATGAAGATTGTTAAGTTATTACTTGAAACCATGAACTGATCAATGTTAGATCCCAATTAAAAACCTGAAAGCATTGCACGGACGGTGCTTGAGACCGGAGCTGAGGGACTAATTCCCACGCGAGGAGGTGGTGAATGCCAACGGCCATCCACTTCTTTCAGATTTCTGATGGTGGTTACTTGTTGATTGATTCATAATTTCAATTAAAATCATATATAAACCTATGTTTCCATTAAACTTTGAACGGTACATAGCGATAGTGTAATCAGACTTATTAATACCTTGGTATTATGACACCAGACAACTTTTTTTCAAAATTAATAATCTGTCATTCGAACTTATATCTATTATATCTATTGAAACCCTTTAAATTTTCAGAATTCGAAATAATCATGTTAAAACATTTGTGTTAGAGAAAATTTGACAAACAAAAAAACAATGCCATCACAAAAACAACTCACTTCGATAATCCAATCCACCAATATAACCGGAATAATTACGAAGACGAATTTTTTGACCTAAAAGTTTCAGGAATTCTTCAAATGCTGGTGTTGAATGTTCTATAATAAATAAATTTTTTTTAAAAAAATCGGAAAAAAACAAAGCAAATATTAATCTATTGAAACATTTAGCAATTTTAAAATGTTAATGATTGAAAAGGAAGTATTTAATGGGATGATACAATATCTGACTACATTTATATCACATACAAAGTAATTTCAATTCTCATATTAATCCTAGTTGTGATTTTGTACATTTGTATTGCAGGAATGAGACTTTATTTAGGATAAACGATTTCTCTAATATTGTGGTGTGAGCTACTTATAAGTAGTATATGACGTGAGTGTCAACGTAATGTCTGGCAGCAGAAGATGGGGGAAGATCAAGAAAGGAGGAGTTGAGGGAAAACAATGGAATTTGTATGAAACGCATGAATAGTGACAATGGATTGATGTTTTGCAATAGGAACAGTCCAGTTCGATATGATGAACTGATATTTTGCAAATTAACGGTCACGATATGGTTTTCCCTATTTTACTGAGTAACTCTGTAATTTTCGTTAAATGCAATTCGGTTGCCCCACCTGTGTTCTCGTTCACTACAATATAACTTTCAGACGTTCATCGACTAACATGAAACATAGATCAAAGGCTTTTCATTGATTGTACTTAAATGAAATAAATACCTTACAAATGATAGTGTTTTTTTTCTTATCTAATAGTTGCGTCATTGTAAGGCATACATGTTTGAATATAGTTCAGTTTCTTTATGCTTTGGATAAATATCTTGTTCTTTTTTTTACAGAAATTCAATGGTTAAGGAGATGTAGTTGAATTGAAAAAGTAAAAATGTTGACAGGTTGATAAAATTCAAAACGTTCATTTACATCATTAAACAATGTACCAAATTGGAGTGTGTATTTCAGCTAAAACTGTAAACCTCTACCTAAGAAGCCTGAATTTAAGAGGAGAATTGGACAAGGGGGTTGGTGTTGACAATGCCGTCTGTCCCATAGGAAACAACTTTGTTGATGAATAAAAAAACCCTACTAACCAGTAGTAAATCAATAACACAAAAAGCTGACTTTCTATTTTAAAGTAATCAATATATTCCATGCTGTATATTACTATACATTCATATGTTTGAAAGTTCTGACTAAGAATTTTAACAATAACTACTAGCATTTGCTTATATAACATTTATAACTGAATAAACTGAATCAATCTAATCTTATCTAACAGTTTTATAAAGTTTTAACTACTATTTAGGAATAACTACCCCCTAGAGCCTTTCCGAGGTTATTGGCGGTCCCAAGCACAGTTAAAGGGAGACGACACCGTACCGTAGAAAATCAACACTCTACAAAAATAATGCTAGTCAGTGGCCTATGCTCCATCAGCGGTAACAGGAGTTAGTAAGTAAGTTAGTAACTATTCAGAAATATTATAAAGAGTAACCATTTGAAGTCGAAAAGCAAATATGAGTATAAAATAATTTTGAGACAACGGTTAGTATGAATAAATTGATACTTTAACAGATTCATTTTAAACTGAAAAATTTCAAAAACGTCTGTGTCAGTTTAGACGAGATAATAAAAACATGAATAATATCAGTTTCATTTGAAAACCCAATATAAACATACTATCTGCAAACTTGTCTCATTTTTATATACTGAGTATTCTTGCGATTTAACTCACTTTAAGAAAAATTGAGACTATGATGTGCAAAAGCGGATACTTTTGAATGTATCAAAACAGTATAATACTTTAAGTTATTAGTGTAAATCTTGTTTCAGACCAAAAGTAATAATATTTCTTATATTTCGTTGAAATTTTGATTCCTATAACCTTTTCTTTCAGCGATCTACAGAATTTCTGCCACTATATTCATAGAGTTTGTTTTATTGACGTTTTTGTATGAAAGACAACAAATAGTATGAAAAAAGGAATCATGAATCAATCATTGTTCGACCATCATTAGTGAACTGGAAGCACTGGATGGACGTTTCGTTCTGGTAGGGAACTCATCAGCCGCGCGTACCCGCGACTTCTGCTACTCACACGATTCGAACCCACGACTTCCGGTTTCGCTCGTGAACGCCTAACAGGAATGGTGGATGTGCACTGCTGATGAGTTCCATATCAGGACGAAACAGCCATCCAATGCTTCCAGGATTCTAATGGTGGTCTAATAATGATTTATTCATGACTTCTATATGAAAAAAACAATGATCTCCATAACCCTAATTAAAAAATCGTATAAAAATAAATGATGTATTTCTCAAAGCTTTATACTATCCATAAACTCTCCATCGACTCCTAAGTATTGATTTGGACCATTGTCCTACTTGTTTTATTTTGTTTCATCGATGAAAATAAGTTGGATGAACCATCATGGTCCATAATGTGATGTAAGCTATGATTCATATTTTCAATATTGCTTTTCTCTTAAATATCCTGTGTACTTTTTCGCTAGTCATCTATAGATACTTGAATAATATTCCAAAACATGACTGTTAAATAATTTTTCTGTGTAAATTTAGACAGATATTTTTTTTCTGTAAATATCAGTCAATCAATTAGACACATTCAGTGTAGAACTTAGTACATGTATTCCTCGCCTCAAGCTGTAACATTCAACAAGTACATCATGAGGAAACTGTTAATAAAAATCCTAGAATAGTAGGGCTATTGACAGTATTAACAGTAACACAATTATGGATTATTTAGAAACTAAGGATCTAAGGGGTCTAAGATACCGGGTAATACATCTGAATCACTAGCCTATTCTCTATAAAAAAATATTTTTCCTACTTCATTCTTTGGTACGTGATTTCAGATACCAACTGCATGAATATTTTCATCTTCATTAGTTACGAAAATAAAAATTCACCAAAAATGCTATCCCAGTCACAAATGGTGTAATACAATGTAGTTTATTAAGTCCCATACTCTTTTTTAGCCTACTTAAGTGATATTTGCGATTGCTTCTATGCAGGTAAGCCTCTTCTATGTGAAGATGATTTTGAAGTAATGTATTCATTCTCTCTTCATGAGCTGAATAACGTACAAAACGGCATCAGTATGGAACTCAATCAAGCAGCCCAGCGATGATCAAAATGGAAGTTGGAACTCAACATCGCCAAATGTGAATGCATCTTATTTGGTTATTCCTTATTCACTCTAGACATAATCATAAATAGTGAGGTCTTGCCGAAGCTTCCTAGAGTGGATGAATTAGGACTCAAATAATCCTCTGATTTGTCTATCTCAGAATAGGTATCTAAACAGATCTTCAAGTCTCAACATCTTCTGTATTGTATAATTCGTTATCTCTATAACAAGGAGTTACTTATTTCAATAAACAAAGTATACGTCTGACCACAACCTGAATACTGCACATGCATTCTTATTAGTATTTACATAAGGGATAAATTAAGACTGGAATGCAACCAGAGACGATTACACTTTGTATTCTTGGGAGTGATTGTATCATAAATTATAAATACGGATGTGATAACCATGAGATAGACTTCTGATGGAGCAGGAGACTTATTTTCTAGGAATATTCAATCAGCAGAAACTCCTAGTTCTAGCTTTCCTTGACTCTTCGCCACTAGTGACACAATCTTTTTCTGAATCTGTCCTTGAAATGAACTATTTTATCAATAAGTTTTCTAGACATTTGAATAACTTGACACAATCTATCTATAAAATAAATCACTCCCATCCTTAATTCGCTGCATCGATGCTTATTACCCCTCCAAAAATGCTTTAAATGTGTTTACAGATGTATTCTGCATTCCACAAGCGAAATTACAGGAACTCCTAATGTTTAAACATTTTATTACTGAGCCTACTAATTAAACCTCCTCTAAATAAAGCGAGGCATGTGTCTGTGACTCGGCTGCTAGACACAATCAATCTCTTCTAAGAACCAAACATTGAAACTTTAGGTAGGTGTTATGATGATATCACAACTATAATTTTATCTGTTAAAATTTAAATATTTCTACATTCATTATAGTTAATTTTCTAAATGGAACCACATATTTACAGTTAATTAATTATTCGATTGGTGATAATTAGTGATTCATTCTTATCTATCTATCTATCTATTTATATACTGTTAATCAAGAAACAATAAAAAATCATTTATGTTTGATAATGAACAGGTGATAATGGAGTTTTTAAATTAGCTGGCAAGATCATGAGTAGGAGGAGATCATGTGTTTGGATACAATGAAATATTATTCATAAAAGTGTTTAAACAGTTCATAAAATATAAATACAGGTCAGTGTAACATATCATTCTATGGAATCGCTTTTACTGAATTGTTGAGAAAAGGTGATTTTAACAAAGTCAGTGGTAGACCGAATGTTATTGGTAGACTGATACAGCTAATTTTCAAATAATGAGTATGAAGGACACTGGAAGTAAACTACCTGACCAATAATTTATAGGAATAACTATTTAGGAAAACGATGAAACGTGGAGAAAATTTGTAGCTCAGGTGGATGATTATGGGGGTGTTTCGTTCTGTCTGAGCTGGATGGTGTTTTGGTTGTGAAGCTTTCATGGTTCTCCTGTGGTGCGCGCTACTTATAAGTAGTATATGACGCGAGTGTAAACGTAATGTCTGGCAGCAGAAGATGGGGGAAGATCAAGAAAGGAAGAGTGGGAACACAATGGAATTTGTATGAAACGCATGAACAGTAATGACAATGGATTGATGATGGATTGAAGGTTTGCAAATTAACGGTTACGATATGGTTTTCTGATTTTACTGAGTAACTCTGTAATTTTTGTTAAATACAATTTGGTCGCCCTCACCTGTGTTCTCCTTCACTACACTCCTACTGAACACAACATCATCAGAGCAAACTTTAGATATAGAAGTCAAATATTCGAATTTCTCCACGTTTGACCTGTAGATTGTTCTGCTAACCAATTTGTGAACGAATCAGAAAAGTCATAGGCAAACATAGGATCAAGAATCAGATGAAAAGAGGATGCGGTTAAAATTAAAGTTCAAGCAACGACAGGTTCAAGTTCAACA